CCCCCCCCTGCCACCCCCCGGATCGTCGCTACCTGACATTCAATAGGATACTAAGTGATCGCGTAATCCACGTTATTTTCCTAACCAACTAGCGGGTCTCGATTTGTCCAGCCACTTTTGTCAGTGACTACTGCATATAGTGAAGCCCGTAACAGCCGTGTTGTGTGAAGTGATCAGTGCGAGATTAAAGTCAGACGCTACGAGTCTCCAACTTCCTCATATTTGCCTTTTGACGTCGATCTGTTTTAATAATTTATTGTTTAAATCTCGGTGCTTCCTCCGTCGACTCGCTGCGCGTCCCAGTTAACCAGTTTCGTTGAAAGTCATCACGAGCTGCATCACGTATCAATGTGGAGATTGGATTACCACGATACAACACCGGACACGGACTGCATCGCGGAGATGCCGCGAAGATCCTCGAGAGAGTCCTGAACGTCGTTATTGCAGTAAAGGATCTTGAGGTGTTCTTCGCGGAGGACATCGGAGATCGATTGTTTTTCTTTTTATTTCGATCACATTGGATCGGATAGGCCGGGAGGAAAATACAGTGAGGTAAGACATTATACGGTGTGACTAATTTCATTATTGTTATTATTATCAGTCGTATAGTCAATCCGCGTTTTATCTACTTTCTTTTCTTATCTCTACGCGAAACCGAGTTCCGACATTCTTTATCACCTACGCTCGGTATCTCGTGAGATATCGAGTAGTAGTTGAAAATTTGTCGATTTTATAATTTTAGTGTCAAGGTTATCGATCGTTCGAAAACACACCTTTTTTATGATCTTTGCTCGGTCATTACTTTTTTTTTTTTTTTGACTGGGACTAAATATTTCGCGCTTATCGCCACGCGATTCCGCCACGTGTTTTCGGTCGAACGATATCAGCGTGCGTATATGTGCTTTCCACGTGATGCCACCTGGCTTGACGTTTGCTCAAGTAAAATTATGTGATATTCGGTCATTCATCAAGGACTCTAATCAAACGATTCACAATGACGCGACTGGGTGATAAAACTTCGTAAACGAGCGAGCCATAAAGAGATAAAGAGTGATAATTGAAACACGTAAATACTGCTGCATCGTGAGCTGCGATGCTTGAATGTGTTTTTGGCGTGAAAGTTTAATTAGGGTAATTCGATAATAAAATATTAAAAGGCGCCACCTGTGACTGTAACTCGAGAAATGCGGTCTTTTATTATTATTTTTTTGTTCGCGTCAACATATATAATCAGTACTGACCCAGATAAGAATTTTAGTTATTTAAAAACAATTTTTGTAAACTCTGCACGAGCACTCGAAAAATTGACATATTCGTTATCGTTAATTAATTATCCAGATGACGATTAACGTAACGTCATTGTGAGGGAATTGCCTAATTTGATTGTTGATATTGGCAAAAAAAGAAATACTAGTGGCAAATTATTGCATAATAGGAGAATAGTTTCTTTCGACGTTACGGACACAAGTAATTGCGAGTTCCCCTGGTGATTTTACCGTGAACTAATTAAGAAATCGTTAACAGAAGAAAAATCTATGCCACCGTGACTCATGGCAATTAATTAAACAGATACTACAATTGCAGTTTCTGCGACGAAGCACGTTCGTTATTTGCGTATATATAATACTCGTTAGATAATTATTAAAAAATATTGACGATCCGATTAATCTTCGTTATCTCGTCGAAGCTGATAACAACGATGCACATTTCTTATTCGGATTTTACGGATGCGCCTACCCCCGTAGAATGTGCAGCGGCGCAGCCAATTCCTTCCCATGACGATATCGACTTACGAGGAATTGATATCTGGCCGAGAGAAGAATTTATCAGGCTGGCAGCGAAGCCGCACGCGTTCGATTCTCAGCGCGGGGTTGACTGGAGAAAGAAAAAAAGAAGAAAAAGAACAAGAGTAAAGATTGGCGTTTCAGAGTGAAGAGACAAGGATTAAGACAAAGGACGGACGAACGAAGAAAAAAAAATGTAGGAAAAAAAAGTGCGCCTGCGTTCGGCCGTTGGAAGGAAAGAAAGATGGAAAAGGGAGATATAGAGGGGTGGGTGGGGGGAGGTAAAAAATAAAAGCGCGAGGGGAAAGAAGAAGCAAAAGAGACTCGAAGCGAGGAGAGTCGACGATGGGAAAAGAGGAAGCTAATCAGAAGCGGAAGTACGCTTCAGCGAATTCAAGGTCTTGAGAAGCAAGACTCAGCGGCAGCTTTTAGCACTTTAATTGCAAAGTCGGTTCGTCGGTTAGCCGATGGTAGTATGGGGGGGATAGAGAAAGAGAAAAAAGAAGTGAAGAGAGAGAGAGAGAGAGAGAGAGAGAGAGAGACGTGTTTTTGCTAGGGGAATAAAAAGAGAGAGGACAGCGCGAGGAAGCCAAAGTGAATCCTTGTTACCGAGTAAGATGCATATATGTATATACATGCTTTTAATTGAAATTTGTGTTATGCATATGCATACGTGCATCGGCATGTGTGGCCGCGAATGCAGAAACTTGTCTGCGATCGAGTCGAATCCGGCAACGCGCCGCGGGATTTTCTCCGGGCTGGTGCGCCGTTTACCAGAGACTCGTGGCGATTGTAAACTTTCTGGGTCCACCGGGGGGGCCCAATGGGCCCCGGCTCTCCGGGCCTGAACGAGCGTGCACTCAGGAGCGAGAGCGCTAACCCTTTCTACCTTCCCTTTCACTTTCATCTATCGTTATATTCGTTCAGACTTACCTGCCTGCCTCGCCGGCTGTTTGACTGGCTGCCTGGCTGGCAGGCTGGCAGGCTGGTTGGCTGGTTGGCCTGTCTTGCTCGCGTTTGCTTTACTTACCAGCCAGTCCCTACCTGGATCACCGGATAGCTGGCAGCTTAACCTGCCCGTACTACGACGTCATAAGTGCAGCATTGGGACGTGTAATAAAACGATGAGGCATACTGGGTCAGTCGTGGGGCATAAATTATTGGCGGACGCCAAGGGCCGGTCCTTGTATTCCTGATACCTTTCGCCTACCCTTTTTCACCTTTCTACCTTTCGCCTCTAGCCTAGGTATTCGGCCCCCTTCGCTCCTGAGCTGTTTCACGTAAATACCTACATAGTTGCCTTATAACGGAAGACATTTTCAGTAATTTACCGATAGCATACATTGTTGCTCATTGTCTTAATTAGCCTGATAATATTATCAGGCTCTCATAGTGTCTTCGTCCTTGTAATTAACTCTTTTATTTTCGAGCTCTCGATAAACGGCACTCGCACGAGCGTCCCTGCACTGCATACATATTTTCCTCGATCCTTCGCATCCTCCCACGTGTCCTTCTTCCTATAAATATTCACGCGGCCGATTCTCGGCTACTCTTACTTTTACTTGTATTATCCTTTGCTTCTTGAAATTTCTCTGGCGCATGGGGTAGACTATTTTTTTTTTTCTTCATTTCGAATTTTTCTTCTAGCTATTCAGTCTCTCTTTCTCTCGCACGCAAACTCCTCTCTCTGTCCTCGTCGCGCCGCACGAATTATATCGCGCGATCGCCACTCCGAACTACACGTTATTCATCCTTGGCGCCGTTTCATCGTATTGCACAGCAAGCGACCCAGATACAAAACTCCAAGTACAGTGTTCGAAATTAAAAGGAGGAAAACAGACTAGGATTCCAAGTGGCACCGACAAAGATGAATCCTCGGCGAAGAATTACACCAATTTCGAGATCGTTATCGTCTCCCTTCGAAAACACCCTGAAATCGGCTCGACCAACGAGAATGATAACGACGATGATATCCCGAGAGCTTGGACTTCTCATAAATATTGGCCGAAGGTCAGGTTGATTTTTGAGAGGGAAATGAAGCGCATTGATATTCCACGTGCTATATATATATATATATATATATATGAATTCCCGGAATATCCAAGAAGATGAAAATAACAATAATATCGCATCAGCCCCGGATCCTTAAGGATAGCACGTAAATTATTTAAAGATCCATGACTTTTTGGACACCGTATACATACCGAGCGACACACACAGCAAGTCCCCACCCACAACGTGAGATCACTCTGTATTACGTAAGTGTCCACTCGGCAGCATAGACACACATAGCGCAGCATAGCAGCGCACATACCGAGCGTTAGCACACAGCACGCAGCACATGGGACGTGGTAGCGCATAGCTCAGCCATACGGGGGAGCAAGTGAAAAAGGACAGTAAGTAGACGGACAAGTCGTGGCGTTATTAAGAGAGACCGGTGGACTTGGACAAAGTGTACGTAGCCCGTGGGGGATATATGTATTCCGAAAAAGCATAAAATAAAAGACAGGAATAACAATAGTGACAAGTGTCGTATACGTGGGAAAAGTAAATACAGGAACTTTGTAAATTGTCTGTACTTTCCTAAA